TGTTCTTGATTTTGGGTTTCTGCTATGAAACTTATTTCACAAGTCATATAATTGTGCCTGCGAAGGTACGAGTTTTTGAAAATTTTGCAATACTTTTGAAAAATGGGTATAAATTGATTATGCCGTCTCAATTCAACCCATCTGCAAAGAACTGGCTGAAACTCGATTTGCAACGGTTGGGAATTTTGGACAAATTTAACGATAAACTTGACACGGTGTCGTACAAATATTTCGCAAATGATTTAGAGGAATCTTTGTTACACAATCCAAGCTTAAAATATTTTGGAATGCTGCGATTAATGTGGCGGGAAGAACTGGATTATTCATTACAGATGCTAAATAGCTATTCAAATTCATCCGCGCCGTGTTTCGTCGTTCCGGACACATTTATAAACCAGGCGATGTACTACTTGGCAAAATTGGTGATTTCTGCGGATATTCTGAAACACATTGAAATAGCGGATGAGGCTGGATTCTTACAGTTTTGGAGGAGTCAAGAAGCTCGAAGTAATTTGGCGGAGTTGTATCAGAAGAAACGTGAAAATGAGGTACAAATTAAACGGCCATCTGTTGACTTTATTTTGCTGCGAAATTTAATTAGTTTATTTATTGTTTCCTGTACCTTAATTGGGATTGGAATTGTGGTTTTCTTCATTGAGAATGAACACATGAGAGAAAGTCGTACGCAGGTCGAGGTTTTCTTAAATGGTTAAAAGTGGGAGAAGTAGGTTTTTACAGTGGCATGTTTGAATTTATATTCATGAAATTTGTACAGGAATGTTTGTGATCATTTCATGGAAAATTTATACAAGTTATTTATTAAAGTATTGCAGGGCAAAATCTTTTAGTTGTAATTTTTCATAGAACTTTATTTCAATTTAACTTGGCCGCTTAATATGGCTAAATTGTATGTAATTCGTTTTGTGGAAATTTGACAATGTACACTACAACTGAATACATTAAATGCATGCAACGTACATATGCATATTGACACGTATATTTATGTATATCTATTTGTATTGATTTATACCAGACATACTTATTTCTGTACGTACATAAATACATATGCATTACACATATACCCATAGGTATATAGATCTATACGTCAGAGTTATATAACGTTTTTCTAGCATTAAAAATTTACAAACAGAAAAATTTTTTTTCTTATTTACCTAAGTCATAAATCAAATTTAAATTTGGAATATCCAATTGATTGTCATTATATTGTTCTCATTCCTGATTGATGATTCGTATCAGCTCTAACAATAAGTATTGGTTATGTAAGTGTAAAACTTCATTTGTTTCTTCTAAGCACAAATATATGTACATGCATACATGATTTTCCTTGCCTACGTGACTCATAAATAGTAATCCATGCATACTATATAATCAATTAATTTGTGCTTTTAACTGTTTTTTTCTTCAATATATTGGACCCAGACTAATACAATCAAGCAGAACGCATTTATTTCGACCCCATTCTTTCTAGACTACGAAACAGCTTAAGTCACGTTGCTTTCACCATAAAAAAAAGTATGTCCGATTCTCAAAACCGATTCGGTATCCTCCTCCTCCTCCAATCCCTTTACCTCCGGTGCTACCCGTTTCGGTATAAACCACCCATCGAATTAAAACCCCACCCGAAGGACTTCACCGTAACTGTGATCCATGTCAAGCGTCCCATTCAAACCTTTCTTCCAATAGTTACCTTGGGGATTTCGGCCATCACCAGTTCGCTCGGACTGTTGTGCATCACACGGGGCAAAACTTTCGCCGAAATTGCGATGGACATGAAGATTTGGACGTGGGGCGCTATGACAACGATGGGCGTGTTTGGCAGTATTTCGTATACTTTATGGTTCGTGATTCGCGACGAGGATACGGTACGATTTGGCAACGAGATCATCCTGTTAGAGGGACAACTTGAGAAGTGTAAGGTTTTAATAAACTTTTTGAGTATTCACGTCAATTTCGCAAACTTTTCAAACGTGGCTTCAAACATATCTTCAGTCAACTTTGCGATGCTTGTGAAAGGTCTGCGAAAACTCATCGTCAAGCGAATTTTTATTTCTCTAGAAATTATCAGTTGATGTACTATCTATTTTCATTTAAAGTACATACCTATGTACATATGTATTTAGATTTCGCAAACCTTGCAAAGTTGCTAAGCTGTGTTGCGAAGTGACATTTTTGAGTGACATGAATACCCAGTTTGATTATAATAAATGTGTAAGTAATTTTATTCTTTAAAGTTGTTATTATTTTCAGTCTTGCCAAGGAAACCGCTTGATAAAAAATCTACCCGAAGCAACCGACTTAAAGAAAGGCTTGACTTGACCGTCCTAACTTTCGAATTTTTCATCTGGTCATGTTTTCTTTTCACCCCGATGGCAGCCATGACTAGTTCGCTGATTGGTCTCGACGTGGTGCAAGTTATACTCGAATTTTTGCAAACGAACGGATATTTGCCAACGTACAAAGGATTCTTACCCTTCATGGCGACCTACTTTGTGCGAATTTTAATCTTATGTTTGACCATGTACGAGGCCGAGAGAATATTCTTTTTCTCGATTGTCATCTTTATCACGTGGGGTAAACTAATAATGTCAATAATTACACAGCTGGACAAGTTTTTTGGTGAAAATTTGTCTGAAATTAATGGTGGAATGCGGGATCATTTTCAATTTTATAACCGTCTGGTAATACTGCTAGATCTGATCGAAATGCAATGGAAGACGACGGTGACGATGTCAATTGTCGGGGGCGGGGTGGCCGTCGTTTCTACGACGTTTGTAGCAGTAAAGTTCCACGAGATTTATCCGTGGTTTTTGACGGCGTTTTATGCGTGTGGGGCCGCATTTCTGTTTTGGTTGGGATTAATTTGTTTAGGATTGATTGGGATGTGCGATGAGAGTTGTGGCGGGCTGTTGGAACGGTTTAAAATGGAGGGATTGTTACTTCGGATGAAAGGAAGGGGGATGAAGTTGTACTTGGCGGAGGTCAAAAGTTTGAGAAGGATAAGGTTTCTGGTTGGGTTGGGACATTTACAATTTGGTGTTTTTAGTAAATCTAGTAAGTCGGATGTGATGGGGTATATAGTGGATGAAACGATAAATATTTTGATGACCTTTTAGTGAAATGTAAATTATTTAAGACAAATTAAACTGATTTTATACGGATCCGTGAGATGTTAAATGAAAAAAATTATTGAAGTAGTCCGCCATAAACCTAAAAAGTTTTGCCTCTGAAAAGAACCATTTCGAAAACGTAGAATATTCCAAACAGGTTAACTCCAGAGTCACGAGAGATTTGTTTTCAAATTGAAAGTTTCAATCAAACCCAATTGGAGGAAGTATTTTTAAATGTTCATGAAATGGTTTGAAGTAAACATGTAGATATGTACATGAGTAGATATGTATGTATATGTATAGGTATGTAAATGTATGTGTACGTAAGTAAATAAATACATAAGCACTGAATATTTAATTCCCTGTGAAACTAATGTACAAGCAATATGTGTAATTCGCAAATTAAACAGAGTGCAAAATTAGCCACGTGTGGTGTAATTTCATATGAAATGCATACATAGTAAATATTTTAGAACGTGTTAAGATATGTAGGATTCAGTGACGCATCGCGTGTGATATCATAGGCTTAAAAGTCAGAAGGCTGGTAGTTATTTTTCGCTTCCAAGGAATTATGGGCGATAAATTTGTAGAACAAGTTGTTGTCAATTTAAGAAAATGTACAATCCAGATTTTGTAAGTTTTTGAAGAAGGGGGGTCAAAAAGAGCGAAAAGATGTATGACCTAAATAATGTTAACAAAGACTTCAGAAAAAGTGATAAGCAACAAAACTGGCTTATCGTAATCGTCTAGATTTTATATATTTCATTCCCCAGCAAATGATTTTTAAATAATTGTCGTGGAAAGGAACTTACTAACATTGCGAGGTAGGTATATACATACGTATGTAGGTAATTTAAATCCACTATGTATGCATTAAATTAGATTTTAATTCATTGAATAAAAACATAAATAAAAATGGTTTTATTTAGAAGAAACAGTTTTATTGCATATGTACCTAATCTTGTATCGCAGAGTATGCATTATTACAGTTTAAATATTTAGAAAAAGCTAAACGACCAGCGTTTAGAAGTAATAAAAGTACATATGTACAATACATAGTGGGATGCAATTTCATATTGTCCCAGATGGGCTTAACTTACCTCAACCCTATCTGGACAGGTTACTATCTATGTAAATTTGTGCGTTACATAAGATTCATACAGCATTAAAAATTTACATGTGTAAAAGTTTATTTTTTCTACATACTAGGTGGCCCAAGTAAAGTGTTAGTAGATTGAAACCCTGTAGCTTCAACAGTTTATGTGTTACAAATTTCTAGTAAATTTTAATGGAAAGCCAGTTAATTTCTAAGTGGAAAACAATTTTTGGTTTTCGAAATTTCCACCCCTAACATTAATGCAGAGCTGAAGACGCGGCCAACAGCCCTCGATTGGAGCACGCTCGGAATCCGTAGCCTAATTGTTCCATTTCGTGGTCAAAGAATTTTTTATAGATTTTAGGCTTCTACGAGGCTTAGAGCACGCATTTGCCCATAACTTTGACCATTTTTTATAGTCCAGAGATTCAAATCCAACAAGGAGGATGGCAATTTCCAAGCGGAGATAAAGTTCGGAATTTGATTTTTAGCTGCAAGTCGAGTCCTGCTGCAAGGTCCTGTCGAATTCATTGAATAGGATCTCACTTACGGGATGTACTACGGACTTAAAAATATATTTTGAGAAATTTGATTCCTTCACTTTCCACCCATTTTCAACAAAATGTGCAGGAATTTTCCAAATTAGCTCCCACCTGCCAAAACCATCACAAAACCTGGATAATGTGACTTTTTGACCTTTTGTCTATATCAGAGGATCCCAATCGGCCAACAAAGCTCCAAAAGACATCTTATTGACATATTTTGCGAGAAATGTACTGGTCTTCAGGATGTCTTTTCCGAGACCAGAGTGGTCTTTAAGACGTCCTTAGGAGCATCAAATGTCCGCTTTTCAGATATCACAAGGTCTTCAGGATATCTTTTTTCTCTAAAACGCACCCCCTTGGCTGTAGGCGGCGGTCAAAGTTTTCGAGACCTGTCGGAATGCATACTAAGGTGTAACTATAACTATAGTATTTTTACCTCACCTTAGAAAAAATATAAACAATGAAGAATACAAATTGTTTGATTACATTCTCACCTAATACATGCATCTGATTTGGAGTAACGTAATGGAATGATATCGCAGTGTCACTGCAGCATCCCACACCCTGTTATTGTTAAAGTTCAAATTAAGAAAATACCGATCAGTTTAAGAATTCCATGGACTAAATATCGTGTGATCAATTAAACAAGAGACATAGCTTATGGCCGGCAGTCTCTTATTTAAATGATCACACCATAACAGAGGTCGACGCTGACAAATTTTCGGCGCCGGTGGCGCCAGTTTTTGGCTATTTATCGGCGGCGTCGGCGACACGGCGTCGCAATGTTAAAGGAATAGGAAATCAAATTTTTCGGCAGCGGCGGCGCGTAAAATGCTACCGGCGTGCGGCGGCGTACGATTGGCGGTGTCGACCTCTGCACCATAAGTATTTTAGAAAGCATGGATTACCTCTTCTTGAGGATAGTACATATATTCCCAGTGGCCATGAGATTCATTAGCAGGAGTATGACCAATATAACGCTCTGGAAGGAAGGGTAGGAAACGATAGCGTCCTAGAGAATCTCGAGAATCTCCAGCTTCCACGCCCAAGTTCTCCATGCATAGGTATACCTGTATTTTATATTCGCATCAGTTTTCCTAATGAAATATTTTATTGACCCTCATTTAGTTTGTATACCCAGTTCAACATCTTCGTTCCCACCGTCATCCTGTCGGCATATTTTGCTATCTGGAAGTCCATCGCCAACAAATCTTCTTAGAGCTTCCTTGCTAAGGACATACCCTGCAAGATGAGTCGATATTATGCAAATGAATTGCTGCCAAGTTCAGCTAAATATGTACCTGCTCCACCACTTATGTAGCCCTGTTTGACATGAGGTTTAAACTTGCACCCGTAGTAAATTGGAGATTCTGGATCAATTCCTTTTAACAAGAAGCGAAGGTTTTCCATAATGACGTACGTGTCATCGTCAGCCTTCATGAACCAATCTGCTTCAGCAAAATGATGTTTGTACACATATTTGAAGGCTTCCTTGGTTTTCCCCCACAAAAAATTCCGTCCTTCTTTGACGTTTGGAAGTGCAATAGTTGGTAGTTTTGGATCTACATACATATTTAGAGCAAGTTGAAATGCATGACGTTACATAAGTAGATAGCATTTTAATAAATGATATACCGAAACTATCAATTATCACCACACCCTAATCAATTAATCCAGTACAAATATATGTAGTAAATGAGTTACATATTTTGCACTTTTATGATCACAAGCTACAACTTTAAATAACAATGAGGCAAGTCACGCGTAAAATTGTAAAATCCATTAATTCTGTAATCTCACAAACTTTTACAAATCTTTCTAAGGAAAATTAGCTTGCAAATTTGTTTGTACTTGGGGCATCATTTTATTTTATTAAAGTTTACAAAATTTTACTAATGACTTTGAACTAATGAATTGCCGCATTATTTCAATTATTGTCGTTATTACCTGCTGTGGAACTCATGAACAAAAGTTTATTACATCTTTTTCCCCAGGTTCGCTGTACCTGGACAGCCTTCGTCTCATGATTTTCCGGATTTGTCAAATTCCAACAAAGAACTTTTACTGAAATTAGGAAATCGAATTAGTTTGAGTGGCACTTGTTTTCTTATTTAGATACCAAATACATAGTTTTAATTTAAAAATATACCCTTTTTGGATAATAGGAGTGCTTCTTGATTGTACATTTCATCGTGGGAACCTTCTACACGAGGACCAGCTTCATCGTCCAGCGATCCATGAGAATGAGGATCAGTTTCTACACGGTCATGGTTACTATGTCCTCCTCCTGCTAGACTTGACAATCTGAAAAGACCAAGACAGTCTTAGGGATTATGCCGTGAAAGTTATTAAATAGGTGCATATGTCCACGTATATGTTCGTATAGCGGACATACCGTAAAAACTCAAATAGTAGCCCTTGCTCAAATAGTAGCCGTGCCCAAATAGTAGCCCTGCTTTTTTTCATAATTTTATAAATAGTGACCTTGCTCAAATAGTAGCCTTGCCCAAATAGTAGCCTTATTCAAATTATAGGCTTTCGTCAATTTCTAATGTACATACATACAACCAGACATCTCCTAGCCAGCTCATTTAAGTAATTAAATCACAATTCAATTTAATCTCAGTTATACAAAATCGAATTGAACGCGAAATTCGGCTGATCGGATAAATTATTAAAATTAACAGCAGGCCAAACCTATAAAATTGTCATCTAATACGAATCTAAGGGAGAATTTGGTGCTGTTATTAAAATTTAATTTGAGTTTAATTCTGGAAACAAAATTACAATAGCTGATTACTAATAGTAGCCGTGCATCTTTTCATAATTTTGTAAATAGTGACCGTGCCCAAATAGTAGCCGTGCCCAATTAGTAGCCGGGTCCCAGGCACTGATTTTTTAAATAGTAGCCCCCGGCTACTATTTGAGTTTTTACGGTAATCAAAAAAATAATAAAACCTGGACTTGAACATGTTGCTCGTGTAAGAAGAGTAGGCACTAAAATTTAACACATAGACGAATCCAAGCACAAACAACATTCCAATTGACAGAGTTGTATTAAAACATCGGTCAAGTGTTCCAGCCAGCATGATTAATAAAACTAGTACTATGGGCACGCCTCACTTTTGTTACAGTGCACGGTCAAATTTACACAATTTTTTTAGAGTTTAGAAGAATTGAATGCAACCGTCCAATGTTACTTGATACCGAACAGTAAACCCAAATCCGGAAAGAAAAGCATTAATTTGGTAATTTTTTTTGGTTGTGCATCATTTTGAGACCCATCCTGCACAAGTGGTTTGATCTGCACAGCACGTACGCATGAATGCATGTACGTTTGTATTCATGTGGAAATGTATTTACATAGTTTTTGCTTTGTACGTCACCAAATACGATGGAAACTGTAGATAAGTTGTGTAGATAAGTAGGCGACAAAACTCCTACCGGTAGCAATGACACTGTTGTTATAATCAATACATTTTCATGATTATGCTTTTGCTTTAGCTAGAAGAAAATGGGTTGTCTTCAAAACACTAATTTCTTCGGGTTCGGATCACACTAAAGTTGGATAGGTCCCAAGGCGTGGTAAAAATTTTAGGAATAAAAAGTTGCAAGATATTTCTGTTTGTTCAGAATTAATGTTTAATAAAGTCTTCAATACATAATTTTTGAAGGTGGTTAAATGTTGCTAATTGCTATTAAAATCTTTTCAGCTTTTCACTATATGTTAGATAATTTTGAGTAAACAGCAGTCTATAATTTTTTAAACTTGGTTAAAATTTATTTGCAAATTTTAAATTTCTACAGGTGAATTAAAATGGACATAATATCAATCATATAATATCTGTGCCATAATTTCCATTAGGTGGTTTAGCAAAATCGATATTTGTTCAGTTGTGCAAACGACGTTTGAACGACAATTTATTAACTAATTTGAGACATTGCAGGTTATTTCCATTGTGAATAACGGAAGGACGAATGCAAGCATATGTATATATGGACTGGTTCAACTTACCAAAATATACACATTTAAACCTTATTTGAGAAGCTTAATTATGTAAAATTTTCTCTCCTTGCGCATTCATGTTTATCATTCAATGTCACATAAACGTAGGGAACCTTAAATGAGGCTGGTGGCAATAGATCAAATACATAGGTAAGTATGTATATAAGTATGCCTAACGAAAATCACTTATTGTTAGGAATTAGATCCCTATCGTAGCTGAACAACAAACTTTCAACAATTTGCAGGAGAAATGCGGACACTTTGGTTACCCTTTATTACGACACTGTAATTGCATACATAAAGTTAAAGTACATAATATGTAACGACATAAACCAATTGTGCACATATTGCTTATTTATTTTGTGATGCATATTAAGTTTTGACTCAATTGATAACCTCAAAATATTCGAAAAAAATGAATAAACCAATACTTTACATAACGAATGACTGCCAGTTGTTGGGTGAGTAAATATAATAAACATGTTTTTCAAAATCTATTACTCTTATCTAGTTGGCAGAAGTTTTTGTTCCAACCTGGATACAAAGTGTTTCACATAATTTCAAACATCGACATACCTATACACAACAATGAAAATTTGCCACAATAAGGTGCCAAAGACAACAGTAATACTCGCAGTTGCATTGCTGCTAATCTGGTACATATTTATACCTGATAGCACTAATCGGGAAAAACATCCTGGCGTTTATAATAATGACATTACATCCAACTTGGGATATCCAATTTCACCCCATGTCGCGGATATTATCGCTGGTTTGTGTACATCTTACCACAGGGATCATTTCAGTCGTCCAAATTTTAATTTTTTTTATAGAATCAGAGAGAAATCACGACATCTTTGTTGCTAAGCGTGACGCTTGTCTTAAGGATCGTTCACTAACCCATGCAAACCTCTGGACAGGCTCGCCCACATTTTGGGATCATTTTGCGCCCACCACATCCTGCCCGTTCGCCCTTCGTCGACTCGGCAAAGTTGGCGATGGCGGCAAGTGGATTTGTGGTTTGAAGGAAATCGCAAAGAAGCCAGAATGCGTAGCGTACTCGTTCGGGGTGGCGGGAGAGACCTCGTTTGAGCAGGAGCTTCTAGATACAACGAACTGCACATTGTACGCTTTCGACCCAACTGTTCCAAGAATTAGCTTAGATGTTTCAAAATACCCGGGCAGAGTGCACTTTTATCAAGTAGGACTGGGAACCCCACCATATTTCAAACCTCCACGGTCCAGCGTGTCCTTCCCGGTAAAACGATTAAAGCAATTCATGTCGGAACTAAATCACGACTGGATTGACGTTTTTAAAGTGGATGTTGAACATGCCGAGTATGAAGCGATGGACGATATTATAGATGATTTTCCGAACGGGCTTCCATTTCCTCATGTAAATATTGAGGTGCATTTACACCTAGTTAGTGAGATAAGTGAAGAGGTTAAACAGTTTGACGATTTGCTGAAGTGGTGGTTAAGATTGGAGAAGGCGGGATTACGGGCATATATGAATGAGATGAATTATTTAGGCGGTATTGCGAAGTCTAAGGTGACGGCGGTTGAGTATGCATTCCTTAATATTAAACCGTTTATAAGTGGTAATTAATTGGCAATACTCGACTGTACAAAATATGTATGTATACTTGTCAGCTACTCACGTACATAGTTTCTAAAACCAACAATAAAATCATACCTGTCCACAGTTCATTGATTCATGGTAGTAATTATGACGGCGGATAATTGAGAATGAGCAATTTTAAGATGCAGTAAATTATATGTCTGTGCAAATTCCATCAGAGAATGTTTTTTCTAAGGATTTCAAACTAATTGTAAGCATGTATACACATACATCCTGAGGCATTTCACGTCGCATGGCGGTTTACGCCACGCCGACCTCTGTATTATATAATCTTTTCCTGATTAATGATTCGTATCAGCTTTAATAACAAGTAAAATAACTTTTACTTTACCGAAACTCCATTTCTATCTACTAAACACAAGTAGATATCATTTTATTTGCCTTCGTGACGCATGAAAACATACAAATGAATAGAAACTAAGTATATTATCAATTAAATTTGCATAATTAATTGTTTTTTTATGATTCAATTTGACCAGGCGACCTGGCCAGGCTTGGGTCTGACCCTATTTAGACAGACAAGTACCAACCAGACATACATATTTCATCGTTCTTTCCAGACTACAAACCAGATTAAATCTTGTCGTTTTCACCGTTAAGAATTATGCCCAATTCTCAAAACCGATTCGATATTCTGCTCCTCCTCCAATCCCTGTACGTTCATGGCTACCCGTTTCGGTATAAACCACCCATCGAACTAAAACCCCACCCGAAGGATTTCACCGTTACCGTGATCCTTATCAAACGTACCTGAGAAACCTTCCTGCCAATAGTTTCCCTGGGGATTTGTGCCCTCTCCGGATCGCTCGGACTACTTTGCATCACTCACGGAAAAACTTTCGCCCAAGTTGCGATGGATATGAGGATTTGGGCGTGGGGATCAATGACCACTCTGGCAGGGTTAGGTATTATTGCGTATTCTTTATGGTTCTTGGTTGGTCCGGAGGATATGGTTCGGTTTGGCAACGAGGTCATCCTGTTCGAAGGGCAACTTGAGAAATGTAAGCCATTAACCTCTTTCGCACTACGGATTTTGTAATAAAATTTCCCTTTGATACGGTGCCGATTTCATTCGCAACCAATTAAAATTCTCAAGCAGTTTCCAATTTTTGAGTATTTATGAGGAAAAACACGATAACTCTACATTTTAATATTGGTCGGTATAAGAAATTTCAAAATGTGGGAAGATAGTATCGAAAAATATCAACAAAATTCCACGAAATAGCTTAAATTTTTGATTCTGTATTTTCCGTGGTGCCAAGGAAATGGCCCGATAAACAATCTACTCGAACTAAACGAGTCAAAGAAAAACTTGACTTGATCACCCTAACTTTGCAAGTCTGCATCTGGTCGTGCTACCTTTTTACCGCTGTCACCGCCATGACGACGTCAGTCATTGGTCTTGACGCGCGGTGCAAGCTATACTTGAATTTTTACACACGTACAAATGTTTCCCAAACTATGGAGGACTTTTGCCCTTCATAACGATCTATTTACTTGGTACGAATTTTAATCCTATGTTTGACAATGTACGAAACCGAGAGAATATTATTTTACACGGTTGTCATCTTTATCACGTGGGGTAAGCTGGTCGTATCCATTACTGTCCAACTGGATAAGTTTTTTGTTACAAACCTCACAGAAATTAAGGCTGGAATATGGGATGATATCCGATTTTATAACAGACTGGTTATACTGCTAGATCTGATCGAAATCCAGTTAAAAACGACGGTTACGCTGTCAATTGTCGGTGGTGGGGTGTCCGCCGTTTGTACGACATTTGCCGCAGTTAAGTTCCACGCGATTTACCCATGGTTAATGACGGCGTTTTATTCGAGTGTATCCGTATTTTTGTTTTCGTTGGGATTAATTTGTCTCGGATTGATTGGGATGTGCGACGAGAGTTGTGGCGGGTTGTTGGATCGGTTTAAAATGGAGGGATTGTTACTTGGGATGAATGGAAAGGGGAGGAAATTATACTTGGCGGAGGTTAAAAGTTTGAGAAGGATTAGGTTTCTGGTGGGGATTGGGCGTTTGCAGTTTGGCGTGTTGAGTAAATCTAGCAAGTCGGACGTGATGGGGAGTATCGTGGATGAAACGATAAATATGTTGACCACGTCTTAGAAAAATGTAGGCACAATGAACTAGAAGGGAAACTATGTTTTCTGCAGATGGGTGGGATTTCAAATTAGTCAAGTAAATAATCTGCCTCAAACTTGAGGGATTTTGAAACGTAGACTATTCTAACAGGCAAACCCGAGCACACTAAACGGGACGCATTGCTACGGTCGCGGACCTAATCAAGTTATCCTCAATTATGTCGTGGTCACGTCGCGTACCGTATTTTAGTTAATTTTTTATGATTTTGAGTGATTGCACAAGGTGTAAAGGAAAAGTAGAAACTAGTCATAAATTTCACACAGGAAAAACTATTTATTTTAGTAATTTTCAGAAATTTAAATGACAAATTAAAATACTACTTTTTTACTGCCTTTCACACTACTTCACTCTCACACAAGTCTACGAGTAATACTAATCTTCTCTCTCTCTTGTCACGTACACATAAAAAATAACGGATAAATGCTTCTCTCGCCTTCCAGAAGAATGGCAAAGCGGTACACTTAAAATAAGGGAACAAAGTGAGACACATTTTCATACATACATAAACAACACATTCAATAATATACAACATCACTCATTCCTCGACACGCATGGTTAGCCTTATGCAATGGTGTCCGTCCAGATCATGCCATCGCATTACACGCATTGTATGTAGTCTCAATATAAATACTTATGTTACATATGTATGTATGAAAGTAATTTATTATTGTAAAACCCAAATTATCGAATATACTGAATTTAGATCTGTGCAAATAATTTTAGAAATAAGTTTCGGCAATATTTGTTTTAAATTTAGATAAATTTTGTTCAAGAACAATTTGCACCATTTGTAAGTAAAGAGGTTGATATTAGTAGTAATTACATACGTAGGTGTTTTATTATTGATTTTCAAAAGGTATGTTCCGCACTGTTTCTGACCAAAGTTTTGATGAAATAATAAACTTCGAATACATTTAGGAGGCTGTGATTTTTTTCATCCCTGTGGGTTAACATAAACGCTGGCAATAAATCGGCAAACTTTACCTCGGCGGAAAAAATGTCAGATTTGCAAATTAAATATCGTAGTGTGATTTAATTTTTAATGCTGGATGGGTAATACGTGTCGCAGATTTATGATCGAATGCTTAAAATTTACGATGAAAACTGGCCCAACACAAAACACAAATTCAATTGTGCCAATAATTTTAAATGATGGCGAAAAGAGATCTCGGACAAAAAGTCGCCAGGACGCTCAAAATGCGTTTCTTCCACAGAAAGGCTCCGGAAACTAGAGGAACCAATAATGAGAAATCCGTGATTGAAACTGTCCTATTTAGCAGATGAGATGGGTGTTCCAAAAACAACAATTTGTTCCATGTTAACTGAAGACTTCGGTATAAAAATGGTTTCCGTCCTTTGGGTACCAAAATTGCTTTCGGCATCTCACAAACAGGACCGAGTCGACTTTTGCAATGCCAATTTTAGCCTATTAAATAAAGACTTGAATCTGCTCAATATTTTATTAGCTGGATATAGTACTTGGGTATACTATTATGACCCGGTGACCAAATAATAACTCATTCAGTGGTAGCACGAGGGGTTGCCACCGCCCGTGAATTGAAAAGTGCAAAAATCTGACAAAAAATTGATGATGACCATTTTCAAGGATACCAAAGGTCTCCTCCTTATAAAATTTATTGCTGGAAATACTACAATAAATGGGGCTGTGTGTGCAGGAACCCCGATGGTGCTGCGTCCTGCGGTTGAAAAGAAACGTGGGGTCAAAATAAAGAGTTGGCCTTTTTTTAGACGACAACGCACCACCAAATACCTGGCTGTTTTAGAGGGCTGCTGCAGACGAAAATCTCTTTACCTGCACAAACCACACCCCGTGCAGTCCAGACTTGACCCTTAGTGATTATTATTCGTATCGAAACTTAAAGAAAGACATCAGGGATAAACGGTATTCGGATGATAATGAAATCAAGTCGTAAATTTTGGCATATTTTCGAGGTAAATTTTGATGAGTTGTTGCTAGCGTTAATGATAACTTACAGAACTGAAAAAAATCACAGCATCCTAAATGTATTTGAAGTTTGTTATTTCATCAAAAGTTTGGCCAGAAACAGTGCGGAACATACATTTTGAAAATCAATAATAAAACACCCACGTATGTACATAAAATACATGCACAAAATACGCTATTATTTCGCAGTGGAGAAAAAGTTCAAAGTAGAATTTAAATAGAGAAAGTTTTCAACCTTTAAATTTCTGTAAAAATGATAAATTCACTGTAAATAAATACATACCGTTCTCAAACTTTTATTTGTAAATATTTACGTGTATTTCCTGAGCGATTGTAATCTAGCACTTTTCACCTACCTAGCCTGCGAGGTAGGCTGCACATTCCTAATATCAACTCAGTTTTTCTTTTCCATCCCGCGCTGGTATCCTTCCCATGCTATTAGTATGGTAGGGATACGAAAGCGGGAATCAAATGTTTGTTAAAGTAATTCTGAGTCAGTAGTACATTTCGGAGCGTTTGTTTTCATGCCCTTCGACAACTCTAATCGTCTTACCAATTCCAAAGCTTGCTTGCGTACACCCTTTGGGTTGTTAAAATATCTGTATTTATGTATTGACCACTTTTTTGATAAAATTGAGTCAAAGTTTTGTGAATTTGCGATAAACATTTAAATTGGCACATACTTAGGAGATAACGAGATAACGTCACTGATATTATTTTAGTAAGTGTGTAGTGTTAGCAGTTGCTACACTTTTTCTGTGCATCTTTAGATACATAAATTAAATATATGTATGTACATAAACACTACGATACGACCTAGCTGGATCAGAACTTTTTTCTGATAAGGGATCAAGGAATAATTAACCTTCTGCGTGCAAACGGAATTGTGTGGAAAAAGAATGCGATACAATATGGGGGACGGAGATACGTATTCTCAGTAGCAATTTTGACCTAGATTTTGCACCTTCAAAATGAAGAAGTGTACTTCAGAATTAATACTGTGCTTATACTTATCGACAGTGTTGGTCACCTGCGAGGTGAACTTCTTGGAGAACTGCAATGTAGAAATTGAAGCGAAATTGATAGAACATTTAAAACGTATTGGCCCATCGAAAGTCATAACGAGTTTGACATCTAACGTTACCAGAAAGCGTTGCAACGGTGGCTGGCCACATTTCGAAAATTCACAGTTTTCTGTTGCGTTTCCAATTAATCGTTTACAAGTTGGGTATAATGACACCAAATGGAAAGTCGTAAAACTAGAAGGATTCGTTACGAGACATAATTGTGCTCAATATGCACAAATTCTACTCATAGACGTTTCCACCCTGAATTTGATCTTGAATAAGGATCATCTTAAGATTCAATTGTTCAATTCTGTAGCAATATTAATTCAATATACTCGATCTCTTAAATCTAGTATTCAATACTTGGCGGGTAACCATTGGCCTGAGCTGACCTTTCTACTAAATCGGACCAACAGCTTTAAACTTTGTCACTTTTGCCAAAAATCAACCCATCTTCATGTTTGGGAAAATTTCATTGAGTCAAAAACGTCCCCGCCTTACAACAAATTTAGAAATGATTTTCACCTTGCCCCGATGTTCGTTCGAAACGCTATAGTTGGAACAAATAAAATAACCGACGAGGACTACTTAGATTTATCGTCGAAGTATAGGAGGGAACTAAAATTTCACGCTTTTCTGTCAACTCAAATCCAAAGTTCTCTTAACACATCGGTGCATTTTTTGCGAGAAGGCCCACATTTTGATCACTTTACAATCCAGTTTTTCATCGTAGTCGATCACGAGTTTGACAGTTTGCACCTACAAATCCAAAGCTTTGGGGAACGGACAGAAGTAAAGTTCCTAACCCGAAGAAAACTACAGGACTTTGACTGGAATTGGGTCCAAGGTCCGTACGACGTAGAGGTCTGGATTTGTTTTTGTGTCACATTTCTAATGGCGATGGTAGTTATAAACTTAATTTTAAAATTTGAACCTTCCCGCCACAACATTATGGACACTTTTCTATTAATGCTACGAATAGTTTATGAACAACATTTAGAACGGTTACCTTCAAGAAGGACCTTTTTTAGAGTAGCCTTCTCAAGCTGGCTGATTTTTTGTCTCATTATTACTGAAGCGTATCGGGGCGAGTTTGTCGGAACGTTTGTGAAGCAAAGATTTCGTGAAGGGCCTAAATTGTTCGATGATCTTAAAAATTTCTATACGCCAGGAATCAAAGTTGTGACGGATGACAACGACACATCGGCACAGCAATACAACAGCACAACGACGAAATGGTTAAGCAATGTCCTCTTCTTATTTACAAATGAAGCTCTTCATTCACCAATTCATCGAAAGATATTGGACACCTTGTACGCAGGAAATATCGTGGAGACTATGGAGGCTATAGTGCAGAAGATTTATGTCGATGGCGATTCACTAATTCACGAATCGATCGTTCTAAACGCAATGCTTTCAATTCTGTCGAAAGATGTGTTTCAATTGTCAGAGGAAGGCGTGTCGTGGCATGTTTTTAATGTTATTAGCAAAAATGTGTTTACAAGTTATATATCTAATATTTTTCAACTTTGTGAAGAAATGGGTTTGGTACAGAACAAGATAAAAAGTCGGCTAGAATTGGGGACAGGAGTTATAAAGAAAAATATTTCGAAGGCATTGAAAAAAATTGGGTGTGAACTAGGTGCAGAAAGAACTGGAAAAAGGATACGTTTGACGTTTGCCCATTGCAAAACATTGTTCGTCTTAATGAGTATTTTTTATTTGGGGGGTGTGGTAATTTTTGTGACTGAAAATTGGAGAAATTTTAGGAGCGAACGGGACAATTGGCAGGAAATTATGCGCGCCTCTTCATTAAATGGTGGTAACGATCAGGCGGATAATCTCAAAGGATTGTATGTATATCATAGATTTTGCACGTGGATAAGACTGCGAGGGATACTATGCTACATTTCAATATGTCGAGAATACCCGCAGTGGGCAGACTCTTATCAATAGGATTTTTAGTACGGTGCTCAACTAATTAAGAGTTATACGCACTGTGAAATTTTTACTACAATTACAAATGAGTACAAATGTGTATTACGTAAGCAGTCTGGTAAAATTTTCCGAACTTCCCCCGACCAAAAAATTATTTTCTCCTAAGCCCTGGGGAATTTTGCAATGTTACCGAATAGATATTCCCGGGAAAAGTTTCCGAAGAATTTTTTAAATGTTTCCGGAAACTTTGAAATATCCATTCAGTCACCTAATTAGGATAAATCTCACAATGTTAATTTTCGACAATGAATAAAAGTAGCCTTTCGCCATTGCGTTGTTCCAACGAGTCGACACTATTTGTCCAATTAGTAATTTTGTGATTACATAATGCACCAGATGCGTGATTTCATGCTTTAATGTCACATATGCAATGCACATAGATCTGTACAGTTTACATTGCTATGCATAAATATATCTCGTTGTTATGCACCTTATCTAATAATACAAAACCATTATGCGTACAAGCGTACATATAATTATGTCCAATCAATTAAGAAAAATAGTATTTAATTGAAATTATAAACACATTGTAACTATAAAAGATTTATTCAAAAACAAAACGTCTAAAACATTAATTTTACTTACTCTACATACGATCAAATTTAACATATTTCATCCAAAAAACCCAGACAAGAGAACACACATCACTACCAGGCCAAACATTACCTCCATCACAGTGGCCCCATTGCAATGATTACTGGAGCAAAAACAGGTATTCAAAGCTCTGTCAGTATTTGCTGGAAACTTGATGAGTTCAACTCCTTCCGGGTTTCGGACCACCCAAGTGAATTTTTTGCTGCACGTGTTGTCGTAACTGCTATCAACCAAACCACACCCTCGAACGACTATGGAACTCGCATTCTCCCGACCTCTTCGCCCCATTCCACACAGGACTTTTTTGATTTTTAAAGTTCCATCACGGTTATCGCTTGGAACAGCGGAGTCATCAATAATCACTGTAAAATGTTTAGAATATTTACTCTCCATAACGTCTTATCTCGTGTCGTAACAACTCGTTCAGAAAACTTGCAGGTTGAAGAATTTTTGTTGCGAGGAGATTAGCAAGAAATTACTTCGCCAATCTCAAATAATACCTATTTTGGTGCTGCTTCAATAGATTTCTCTAATTTCACTTGCTGATAGAGAGGATGGGTTTGCAAAATAATTTTGTGAAATAAAAACATGTCCATTTACTGCGTAAATTTTCAAAAAAATCCCATCATTTGCCAGCAAGTTTTGCAAATCTCGCAAATTTGGCAAAATTTGGCAATTTGTGATGCTATGTACAGGGTGGTTTAAATGTCAGGTTACAATGGAAAATTTTTCAATGGGAAAAATTCGTAAATTTCCATTAGTTACGGATTTGGGATTGAGATTTTGATTAATTTTTATCAAAACTTATGGAACACTGATGACAAAATTCTTAAAATATTGAATTCCAGAGGCAAAATTTCGGTAACTAATGAAGATTTGCGATTTTTTCCCATTGAAAAATTTTCCATTGTACCCTGACATTTAAACCACCCTGTATGTACCTACATTGATATTTGCGAGATATACGAAGATTGACGTGAGTACGCTCAATGACATAAAACCCATAAAAATTGTTCATCACTTACAATTGTTCAACACTTGGGTCGGACTGTCGTACCAAATCGTCTTCTTCACCACCACAATTTCTAGAAGGCAGGGAGGAATTTGCAGAAGCTTCGCCGTCCTCACATTCTGGTAATGAACCAGCCACGCCCGGTATTGAGTAGCAGGTATAGCAGTGCAACCCTGGCGGTAAGGTGGTCGTCGGACCGGTGGATGGAGGCTTGGTGGTTGTTTCCTGGACATCATGCACATTGCAATTATCACCCGAACACAGGCATGAAGTTAAGGCGACGTCGTTGAAAAATGGGGGGATGTAGACCACCGTCCCGTTGGGTAAGGTGAACGAGGACCAGTAAAAGTTGTTACAGGTGCCGATGTGGCCGCTTTCCACTACACCGCAGTTACGTATGACAACTCTGTTACCCTCATATGATCCATACGCGGTCACACAGGCTGCCTGTCGTGCCCGAGGTAGTTGTCCCGAACCTATTTCGGCAATTTATTAAGGAAATTTTGAATTCTATTAAAAAGGGGGCGTCCATTTATTACGTCATCAGAAAGGTGGTTGGGTCGCTTATCTTACTCGTGTGAAGGTTACCTTGACTAGGGAAGTGGTGGGTGGGTGGTTTAAAAATCGGCGCTTTTTATGAAGTAATATATGGACGTTCTCAAACAGGATTTATGTGAGGGGTGAATTTGTCTAACCTTCAATCAGTCCAGTTTCGTCGGGACAAGTAGTCGTATTGGTTAAACTTGGAAAACTGTTGCAGCTAAGGTCAGAGCTTGGGGTGTTTTCTAAGTACGTACAGGTATGGCAGGAAAGGGCTGAAAGTGACGTAATAAAATAGTTAGGCAAGTCACGTCAGCCTTCGTACGTCCGTAACCACGAAAGTTTACAAAATCTATATATCTTGGCAAGTTTGTATGCAAAAATTACATTATAAATGTTCCTAAGTTTAGTGGTTACGGATTTACGAAGACTGACTTGAAATGTCTCATTGTTAAACTTTTTCTTATGAGTTTCTGAGGGAACTATTATCCATACATCGACTGAAGGACATCGTCTCCTTCAGCAAGGACATATACTGTCCTCCATCCAAGAATCCTGGCAGACGGAGTTCCGGTGTCTACCAAGACGTATCTCCTCTCTCCACCACTGCCATCCTAAAGTCCCCCATAATTCTACAGTTACCACAACCTCTAAATATATTTTGGTTTCTTGATACATAAATGTAAAATCCTCCGGCTACGTAAAATAAATTGATAACCAGTTGCTCTATAAAAACTATAACTCTCGGGGGACGCGTATTACATTTCGGTGACTTATTTCGAGTGCTAAATTCCGATAAAACATTAACTTTCGTGTATCTCACATCATAAGTGGGGCTGCCGATCGCACATACGGCCTTACGCCTCCAAACTGTGTGGTGACCTTCCGGAACATTGATCCCAGTCCGTCCCGACTGCACTCACCTCTGACCTACCAAGCGCCCACCAGAAGACCAACGCCCACAGACGTGGTTAGACCGGCAGAGGTCGTTCTTTGTACCTCAACACCACATCCACGCCCACAGACGTGGTTAGACCGACAGAGTTTGTTCGTTGTACCTCGACACCAGACCCATCGCCACAGACGTGATGACCTGAGATCGTTTTTTTGGACCCCTCTCTGCCCGAAAATTCGTCCGAATTCGTGGACGCCCCTTTGTCTCATTCTGCCCAAACGAGTGGACCACGCCGTCTTCTCCATTTTCTGGTTCGTATCTTTCTAAGCCGTGATGAAAATCATAAAAAGGTGCCGTAAACATTTTTTCTACATTTTTATTTAACAAAAAGACGCTATACTTTTGAGAGAGTTTTTTGAGATTAATTTTTTGAAAAGTAAAAATGAAAAAAGGCAATTTTTAAACAAAACCCTTCGAAATTTTTTTTTGGGTAGTATCACATTACCCCATTTTCTTACAGAAACTTCTGAAAAATTTTAAAAAGTGGTCAGATCGAAACAGAACTCTGCCCAAATTTTTCTTACCTGTTTCACATTGCCCCAGTCCTCTCAAAAAACTTAGAAAATTTTTGCAAACTTGTCTCAAGCTGCCTCCAGCTTCTCTTTTCGTAAATCAGTACATACATACGTACAATAAATCGGGTTTTTAACAATTTCTTTTACATTTTAAGCTTATACATACATAAGTAATTATATTTTACACTTTGTCTGAGGAACACACTTTTTAATTTGGATTTTTAAGCAAAATATGCATATTCTTCAAAAGAGAGGAATATTTTTACAAATGTACATACATAATTCCTTTTAAAACTTTTATTTATGACTCGATTTCCTTCAAATCTTTTTACATACATTCAAATTTATGATGCCTTTGACGATTGACGGTTTTCTACAGAAAACAATGCCGATATGCCGAAATATTTTTAAAATAAGCCGATTTTACGTACACTTGTCCTTGTAAAGGTCACTTCTTGTTAGGACAGTTCTATTCATTAGAATAGCGTCACTTATTTGAATATTACTAACAATTATGCTAATTAACAAGGAAGAAGAAAAGAAAATTGTGTGTTGGCATGCATGAATAATTCGCTTTGTGTTCATTTATTCAAAGTTTGGTTGAACTTTATTACACATCAATGCATTTATTAGTCGAAACATTTCCCAAAATTAAAATTTAGGATCATTTTTACATATTTAAAATCTGAATTCATTTCCTACTTACCTACCTACCTACCTACCTACCTTTTCACAACCTACCCTACCCTACTCAACTCCGAAGAAGGCACCGTCCCTCACATTGACCCAAGCTACACCACGGTGGTCAATGTTGCGGCGGCTCGTGTCGTCGTGAGCCAGGGGACGAAGGCTAGGCCTGCGGGTTCATGGTTGCAGATCCTGGGTATGCGAGCAGTTGTGGGTAAGCCTTGGCAATCAAGCCGAGGGACAACCTTCATGAGTATCCTTATTCCTCCTCTCCTTTGTTCTTTTAATGCTGCATTATTCTAATTATGGTCGAAACAAGGGTACATAAAATTATCTCTTTCTATTTGGGAAATACATACAAATTTATTTCAATATTATGAAATATTGCTAGAAACTGGCAAAGGCAACCTATTGTTAAGTTAAAGTGAAAAAATAAGTCGTTTTTATTTTTAATTCTGAATTTTGGTGAATAGTTGTTTGATTTAATTTTGATTTTTTGAGATTTTATTTGGAAAATTTTTTCAAAATGTCGAACCCTCCTGCAGTCGAACACCCTAATAAGATTATCAAATATTTTCGAAAATTTGACGGAAAAACTGACGTAAATGAGTTTATTGCTCATTTAACTGCCGATTTAGCCGAACATCATGTTACAAATAAGTGGATTTCTACAAATTTAGACCGAATTTTAGAAGGTCAAGATTTTTTCAAATCCTTGAGAGTTCCTACATATGCTACTAATTTAGTTACCACTTGTAACAATGATTATGACGACTTGTGGAAAGCAATTTTAGTAGAATTTAAACTGTTTTTTAATCATGATTCTCAAATTAGTACACACAAGCAAGCGAACAAAGCTTTAGTTTATGCTGAGAAATCTAATCCACAAGAATATGTAACTTCTAAATTTAGTATTTTACGCAATATTGATCCTAATATGACGGACAGTAAAATTGTTGAACAATTAATTAAGGGACTTCCAATTAAACTTCAATTTTTACAGCTAACTCCCACACCAAGAAGAGGACGATCTCCTCAAGTCGGATGACGACGACTCCGACAACACAATCTTCCCCGCATCCCTATCTACCACGATGGTGACACTGGCCATCCAGCCGCCCCAAGACGACAACTCCACATGGACATGTCCGATTTTTTCGCCCCGTTCCTCTCAACTTTGGCCCCACTCCACGGTAGGGACTACCGCTACTTTCCCGGGGGGCCTGAGGGAACTATGCATATCATATGCATCCTCCCCTCCTATCTCTTCCTCGTCTCCATATTCATACATTGATGTCTCGACCGGCCACTCACTCCTAAATTATCCATACATCGACTGAAGGACATCGTCTCCTTCAGCAAGGACATATACTGTCCTCCATCCAAGAATCCTGGCAGACGGAGTTCCGGTGTCTACCAAGACGTATCTCCTCTCTCCACCACTGCCATCCTAAAGTCCCCCATAATTCTACAGTTACCACAACCTCTAAATATATTTTGGTTTCTTGATACATAAATGTAAAATCCTCCGGCTACGTAAAATAAATTGATAACCAGTTGCTCTATAAAAACTATAACTCTCGGGGGACGCGTATTACATTTCGGTGACTTATTTCGAGTGCTAAATTCCGATAAAACATTAACTTTCGTGTATCTCACATCATAAGTGGGGCTGCCGATCGCACATACGGCCTTACGCCTCCAAACTGTGTGGTGACCTTCCGGAACATTGATCCCAGTCCGTCCCGACTGCACTCACCTCTGACCTACCAAGCGCCCACCGGAAGACCAACGCCCACATTTCGTATTCTTAGAATATTCTAGTTTACTTTCCGTCCCCGCAGGTTTTAACATTCTCAGAAATTCAGTGTGAAACAACGCCCCTATCAGTCTCAAATACCCCCGTCAGCATATAAATTATGCTGACGGGACTGACAGTGCACACTGGTCCGGAATATTGAATTTATTGGCCAAAACCTACTCTCAACTACCCTGTTCAGTACCTTTAACATAGATGTTCAATTGTGGAAAGTTTCATTTAAATTGTTCGAGTGGTTATAGCGTGGCATATGCCTAAACTTGGCTCATAGCATTGACTAAATGGGAAAAACTTCAAGTTGAAAATCCTGTCTAGTCCGGTGGTATTTCGAGAAACCGTTAACGTGTCATTAAACCCTTATATCTCATCTACAAAAACTGCTGTCCCTTTTTGCCCGTTTTGCAAATTGACAGAAATTTAAGTTTATGCAAAGGCAAATTGCATAATCAAAATATCTGGAGTACTCCAATCATTGCAATGTATGAAACTTTTGAGTGTTCAAAATAACACAATCGCTTCGAAATATCTTGCCCATTCCCTGAGGAAGGATGCATGGTAAAAGAAACGCCTCTATAAAATTTATTAGCAAGGGGGGAATTTTATGAAGTGTTGGCCCCCTGAGCCGGGACGGCGAGATTTTTAATTTTGGCCCTTTTTTCTCTTTTAATGAGATCAGAGGGCAGAAATACTTAATAAAACTATAGAATATTGTGATTTGATAAAAATACATCCTCAAATGCATCGAAACAATACTTTGAAATTTACATTTTGACCACACCCCCTGGCGGTGGGTGTGCCGATAATGTCGCAATGTTGTTGTTGAATTATATAGAGCTTGATGCGACCATACCTGTGCAAGTGAAAATACCTTCACTCAACTTCACTCATTTTCACCTCGAGTCAAGTTGCCCTTCACTCCCCTCACTCACGTGAAGGAAGGCTGAGTGAGGCTTCACTCACTGATAATCTGATTCTCACTCCTTCACTCCCTTCACTCCCTCATTCCTCACACGCCACTCATTCCCCTCACTCATTCATTCCCTTCACTCTTTTTTCACTCAATTCAGTCCCTCGTGTCATCATAAATTAAATATTTTGGCGCCATCTGGTGGGGCAAAATGAGATTCGACTGGGGCAATGTGAGACTGGGCTGGGGAAATGTGAGACTGGGCTGAGGCAATGTGAGACTGGGCTGGGGTAATGTGAGACTGGGCTGGGGTAATGTAAGACGAGGCTGGGGCAACGCGAGAATTTCCTGTGGTGATATGAGACTCACTATTTTCATACAAGTAGTTTCCGAAGCCCGCATTGCGGGCTTATAAAATTGGTCAATCCAGGATTAAGAATTGAGATTAGGATTGAGGATTAATTAGTCCTTAATCTCAATCTCTAATCCCATGTTTTAGAATTTTAATGCTTAACCCTTAGTCCGAAAGTGGGTTTAGAATATTTACATTTACTGAAAAGTTGAAAATCTAAGTTGAGATCCTCCCCGCTCGAAGTTGATTGCATCTTGTTCGTTGTTCGTTCATTCTTTATCAGAAATTTAAAAAACTGGGAACAATTTTGCAGAAACTACTCGTAACATGGTATCCATGTATGCGAAATAAGCATTGGTGTGACCTTAAAAGAAATGTGAGTGGTCGAGAGTAAACTGACGACTATAGGGGAGTTCCCAGGTACCGGATCAACTGCCGACTTTAAGAGGTGTACACAGATCCCACTCAACTGCCGAGTTTAGCGGTGGTGCACAGATCCCGCCATGCCGACTATAGGGGGTGCGCCTAAATCTCTGGTCAACTGCCGCCTATAGGTTTACCAGGTCACGAGTCAATAGTCGTACCGGGCATGCCCATGTGACAGATTGAGTCTTGAATCTAATCGATGTGCAAAGGGTCAAGCTGTGTTCAATTTGGGATGTTTTGGGTTATTCTGGTGGTAAAGTTTTCTGAACGTTTTGACACTTTCAGCGTAGAACGCCTATCGGCGAAAAATACAACATAGTTCCTTCAAAAGCCTATAAGTGGCGTTGTTCGTTTGCCAATACTTACAATGCAAGCCTTCTACGTGTACAACTCAGATCGGGTTGGGACCAATTTTAGTTTGTTCACCACAAAAAATAAGGATACCCATATTTTTTCATTTTTCATAATACGCTAATTTGAGCGCGAGGCGCGAATTTTAAAACATTTTTCAGCCAAAACCTCGGTTTTTTAAAATTCTGTAAATTTTCGAATTGTAGCGCGAATCCAAAAATTTGAAGACATGTCTCTTCAGATTGATTTACTTGACTTATAAAAAATCCAAATACATTATTTTTTGAAAAAGTAAAAATTTGAAAGAGTTTATAATTTTAATGAATTTCAAAAACTGGCAAAAAATTTTGAAATTCAAATTTTGAGACTATTGGATTTTTCATAAGTCAGGTAATTCATTCTGAAGAGACCTGTTTTCGAATTTTTGGATTCGCGCTAAAATTCGAAAATTTACGGAATTTTTAAAAACCGAGGTTTCGGCTGAAAAATGTTTTAAAATTCGCGCCTCGCGCTCAAATTAGCGCATTATGAAAATGAAAAAATATGGGTATGCTTATGTTTTGTGGTGAACAAAATAAAATTGGTCCCAACCAGATCTGAGTTGTACACATAAAAGACTTACATTGTTAGTATTGATGACCTTTGACCTCTGATTATGACCTTTGATAATAATAATTTTAATACTGAGAAAATAAAATTTTTTTTGAGGTCGGTCTAGAAAAACCAATTTTGGTATGAATTTAAAATGAGCGCGAATGTCACGTGATAAGTGACATCCAATAGAGGGCGCATAATGCGTGAATATGCAAAAATCGATAATCTCATAATGCCCCAATCATTGAAAATCACGGTGGGCGCTTATGCGTTTTATATTTACAATAACATTGAGTCGTGTCTCGTTTTGCCCCATGTTCAACCAAGTTCCAGCGCACACGTTCAAATTGGACAGACAAACACAGTGAGTCACGGCTATTCTTAGTATTGATGGCCACGGTGATTTTAGTATCTAAACTAACTATATTCCTTCACCTTTTTTCCCCAGAGATGAAGGAGTGACCGGGATGGAGCCTTCATCTCCTTCACTCCTTCACCCTTCATTCCACTCACTTCTCGTCTCAGCCTCCCTCACTCACCTTCACTCACTCGATCAAATTTTTCAACTCCCTCACTCAGCTTCACTCTCCTTCACTCCCTCATCGTGAATAAAGCCTCAATTTACCTAAATTGAGTGAAGCTGCACAGGTATGGATGAGACCTTTCACATGATACCCCACTTGATGGGGTAACGCGAGAAAATAATTATTAGACTTTGACCACACCCCCAAAGGGGTGTGGCTATGAATGAATCTTCCATAACTTATACCCTTTGAACTTCATATATCGATTCCCGAAGGCAGCGTTCGAAAAAATTAATTTGTTCGAAAGTTATGGGTTTTGGCAAGCAAATAAGCTAATCCGGACCAGTGTGCAGTGGCGTAGTTTCTCAGAACTCACAATTTATGTAAAAGTTCAAGCCTGCGTGGAAAGAGAATACCTATGTATTTACTTACCGTCAATGGAGACTAGTATGCTCAGGGAGCCGATAACTTGAAAGAATTTCATTTTGAACTGTGCTGTCACAAGTAGAAAATTATGATTAACCCGGATGAATTGAGCAGACCACGGTTTTATTGCATATGCAGATGTCCAGGGAAATGTTGCATATATCTGTTTACGCAGATGGGTAGGGTAGCAAAAGTCCAGTTGTAATTTGATAATCAATTCTCCCGATAAGACAGTCATCGATATGAGACATCATTTTTAGTTAGAAATCCAATCACGTTTGTTATGCACCATATACATAAGTACATATGTACTATACTTAAATATATTATTCAAGATATAGAAAATTCGTGCGCAAAAAACATGTCTCTGACTCGTATCCTATTAGTCATACATACGTATGTTTTTTCTGCTCATAAGCTATGAGCAGGTGGACCGAGAGATTATGTATGTAAGTAGAAAGAAACCAGGTAGAAAACTTAATCGCATAGCATAAAATATTTTGCAGTGTTGGTCGAATGCGTATAGAATGCCTAACCTCTTAAAGTCCACATTGCACATTTGTACTCAATAAATTACCTTGACACCCAAATTTCTAAAAAACGAGTGTTTCTAAGGTATTTTGTGGAAAATTCGATGGTAAAAAACGGATTTTTTCAACATTTTCCTTCTGAAATTTTGGAATTTTCCCTATACCGACCAATGTAAAAAAAATTGGAATTTTCATGTTATTCCTTAAACAACTAAAAAATTGGAAACTGTTTAAAAATTTTAATTGGTTGCTATCAGGTATAATTATGAAATCTACATCGTATCCATGGGAAATTTTATTTAAAAAATAGTAGGACATAGGAAAGAGGTTAATAGATAAGCCTGCAGTTCTGCGAATTTGTCCTTGTTAATTGAACGCAAGTTCCTTAGAGCATGACTTTTGTAACCGAAACAATATGGCATGATCACACGATACTTTTTCGACGAAATTGTTTCCTAATCAGAACGATGTTGTCACTCTGACTGATCGTCGGGCTGATGTCAATTGCTCTCAATGAGGTGGATGCCTGCACAAATCATGCAGAATTTCCACATGTACGCATAATACATACATCTGTCATCTGTAGATAATTTGACTCAATGGCGTACTCAAGTCAACTTTCATAATTTGAAGATATACATATTATGTTTGTATATCTTGTACATATATCTCGCAAATTGAGCAAAACCTGCGAAGTTTGCGAAATTTACAAGATTGCGCAAAACTTTTACTGGCAAACCTGGGATTTTTTTCGCAAATTTATGGGAATATTCACTGGGCATGTTTTTATAATAAAAAATAAAATTTTTATTTCACAAAACTATTTCGCAAACTTATCCTCACCAGCAAGAGAAATTACCGAAATCCATGGAAACATTTTTTTATACAAAGTTTTATCTAGAAGAATAATTTTAAAGAATTATATTAAATTAAAATTTATGTAATGTCAGGAAAAATTTCGGGCGGATGGATTGACATCATTTCGGCTGGTTTCTGCTTCCTCCCTAAACACATAATTAACTTCTCAGCTAATACTTTAGAAAACAATTTCTCCGCTTGTAAATCTAACTAGGCAGGTTATCACAACTTTGCCAACGATTATTACTACTAGTTATCTACATCCTGTCTGGTAGATATTTAATAGACTAAATTTTGTAAAATATATAAGTATCAGCCAATTTTCTACTTATCTCACAATAGAAATACAACAGAACCTGTACTTTTACAAAGTCTAATTATTTTTCACCTGGCGTCGGTTCCTTTATCTTACAAGTTTTGTAAATTGTGTACATATGAACTTATAACCCACTTACATATCTCGATTGAGGCTCGTATGTCAAACATACGTATGAATGAATGCATGTATATGGTGTGATAAATATGATGGAAAGTATGTATATTTTCCAACGTGTCAATACATTTGTCATACAAAAAATAATTATAGTTCTTCGAAACCTTTTTTTATATAAGCTCTTATCGCCCGAGTTCTTATCAGGATGAGCATATTATCATAAGCAACAGGAGTTTCGTAACACAGGACGTGGGACGAATTTCTTCTGACTATTTGAATGTCTTGAATTGCGTGGGAGACAGGTTGAAGGACAAGAAAATTTTCAGTAGCGATTTAGACCTGGATTTCGCACATTCACAATGACGAGACGCATCCTAGAAATCATAGTCTGCTTGCACATTTCAGCACTCTGCAGTACTTGGGAAGTGAGTTGTACAGAAAATTTTAACGTAGTTATTGGGGCGAAATTGTTAAAAATTTTAAAGTACGTTGGCCAATCTAAAGTCATACAAAGTGTGGCATGGAAACGAAATTATAACTGCGCTTTACCACATTTCGGAAGTTTGCAGGTTTTTACTCCTATGCAAATAAGTTGTTTACAAGAGGAGCGTCATGGTGATCCTCAATGGATAGTTGAAGAATTAGTTGGAAGATATAATCCTGCAAAACAACGGAAAATTATTCTGCTAGACATTTCCACCCTAAATTTAATCTTGACTAAGGACCAGATCAAAATCCAGTTGTTTAACTCTGTCACGATATTAATTCAAGACACCCCACAACTCCTGCCTAATATACGAAATTTGGTGGGAAACTTTTGGTCTGAGCGCACGTTTCTCCTAACCTTGACCAACATTTTTCAACTTTGTCACTTTTGTCAGGAATTCACCCACCATCACGTCTGGGAAAATTTGAAAATAAGCCCAAAAATGTCCCCTCTGGACAACAAATTTCGAAAGAATTTTCACCATGCGGCATTATTCGTTCGTAACGCGTTAACTGGAAATGCAACAAGCGCGGAACTCGACTCCCTCAAAACATTCTCAAAAAATCAGATAAAACTAAAACTTCGAGCATTTTTATCAACTCAAATTCAAATTTTTCTAAACACTTCGATCCATTTCTTACAAAACGGTCAAGAACATTCATTCGAAACCATATATTTCTACACCTTATTCCGTCCCGGATTTAACTACCAGCGCCAACAAGTTTTCAGCTTTGGAGAGCGAAAAGAAATCAAGTTTTTAACTCGCCGGAAAGTTCGAGACTTTGACTGGAATTGGGTCCAAGGTCCTTACGATGCTGAAGTCTGGATTTGTTTCTGCGTCACATTTCTGATTACGATGATGCTTATGAATTTGATTTTAAAATTTGAACCTTCCCGCCGTAATAAGCATGATATCGTACACACTTTTTTATTAATGTTACGAATCGTTTTAGAACAACATTTAGAACAGTTGCCTTCAAGAAAGACATTTTTTCGAGTAGCGTTCGCAACCTGGCTGATATTTTGTCTCGTTATCACTGAAGCGTATCGCGGCGAATTTATGGGAACATTTGTTCAGCAAAGATATCTCGAAGTACCAAAGTCAGTCGAGGATCTCGAAAATTTCTACACGTCAGGAACTCGATTTAAGACGGATAATAACGGGACCAAGTTGACAAGCAATGTCGTCGTATTATTTCAAGAGGACCCTCGAAATTTGTCGAAACATCGAACCATCCTGGAAACATTGGAGAGGGGAAATATTGTCACTAATTACGAGGATTTATTTCAACGTCTTTACGTAAAGGGCGACTCGCTAATCGAAGACTCAATCGTACTAGAATCGATACTGTCGATTGAATCGAAAGAAAAGTTCGAATTATCGGAAGACATCGTTTCCACGGATATTTTTAATTTTATTGAAAAAAATGTGTTTACGAGATACATCTCGAATATTTTGCAACTCTGCGTGGAAACAGGTTTCGTACAAAGCAAGACGAAAAGTGAGGTTGGAGAAATGGTAGGACAGGCCAAGAGAGTGATTAAGGGATTATTGAGACAAATTGGGCGTGGTCAGGATGCCGAAAATGGTGGGAAGAGGATAATTTTGACGTTTGCTCATTGTAAAACCTTTTTTATTTTAATGTTCATCTTTTACTCGGGGAGTTTGGTCATTTTTGTGGTTGAAAGGCGCCGATATTGTGTCATAGAAGGGGGTGAGATTTCTGGAAATTTTACCGATAAACGCGGTTATTCCAGAAGAGTGTATCGACCTCATAAAAATTTTTGTACACGGATAAGGTTGCGCGTAATGATATGGTACATTTCAATATTTCGGGAATATCCGCAGTGGGCAGATTGCTGATATGTATGCAAATACAAGCATCTTTTTATTAGAGTATATTTGCCAGCATGTTACCAAATCTTACCTACTGTTTACACAAATATGTACGTAAATATCTCATAAAATTTGAAAGCATGCCTGATATGAAATCTAAATATCTAGATTAAATAATGGTTTTTCCATAGTTAATAACGTTCAGTTCAGTTAATAATTAACTGTTTATAACGTTCCATAGAACGTTATAAACTAGATTTACCTGTTCAAGTTTTTTTATACCTGTTAGTTTGGCACTTGATATCTAATCCTGTTATTTTGATCAAATATCGATCGAAATGTAGAGCTCTGATATAAAAGATGTGCAGATCAACTATTTAACTCAGTTGATGTAAGAGATGTGCAGGGCAAATAAGTAATTTAGTCGGAAGTTAAAACTTGTGTAAGCATAGAGAGAAGAGCAATTTTTAACAAAATTTTTACAAGGCAGCGGTCATCATCATGATTCTGGTAAGAATTTAAACTAAATTAGTGAGATTTATTTTTTCGGGATATATGTAAATATGCATGAATGTACATATTTATTGATCTAAAATATGTGCCTAATGTTCAAATTATACTTTGTATTTCAAGGTACTTCTCACCATCCTCGTGTCAAATAGTTTGGCCACACCGGTCAAACTGGATGATGTCCACATTAACATTAAGGTTAACTCGATTTTCACGCAAAAGCAAAATTAAAAAGTCACAATCGTATTTATATTCCCTGATCCTGCATATTTGTACACGATTTTGACTTTTTGAATATACGTCGATGTAAGATATGTACATACATAATTATTATTTACATATGTATCTTATCTGGAAAATTAAAAAATATATATCGGTTCATTTCGTTCCATTTATCAGTTTCGTTCTTCATGGACGATGTGCAAATCAAAGAATCGTCTTATACAAATAGGGCAATTACAAATATACATAAAACGAAAATACGA